ATCATTGAACTCAAATCTTTACCACAGCTTTTTCTTTTTTCTTTTCTAATAACAGTCTTTATTTTCATGGACCATAAAGCTCTTTGAAAAGCTCTCTCAACTTCTGTGGCCTACAACTCCCAGAAATCCCAGCCAGTTTACCAGCTGAAACAAGTCACTTCCATTTACTTATAGTTACCTCAAGAATGCCAAGAAAAGGATGGTAGAATCATAGTGTTGGAAGAGACCACAAGGGCCCACCTAGTCCAACCCTCTGCCGTGCAGGAGACCCAATGTCCTATGGATTCCTGCACAGAACCTGGCAGGTGGTGAATAAAAGATGTTTCCTTAACAGCAACTAATGGTTCACCATACTAGTAATTAACAAAAAATTGTAATGAACGAAAAGTTAAACCACACTTTTCAAAAAGACTCAAAGAACAGCATGTGCTGCTTTAGAACTGTGACAGGGAGATAATATGATTTTCAGAATTCACTGAGGAAAGTCTGTCAAAAGGTTTCTGAGTGATTATTTTTTAGGAAGTTGTAAGGATCATGGAGTGCTGAGATCAAGGGACCATCCACACTGCAGAATTACAGCACTTTGACACAACTTTATCTGCCATGGCTCTCTGTCAGAGAAAGGTAAATATCTCACAAAACAAAACATTCCAGAATTTCATAGCACTGAGTCATGGAAGTTAATATGGTGTCAAACTGCTATATTTCTGCAGTGTGGATACAGCCCAACACTGCTTTGAATCAAGCATGGTCTGTGTTCAGATGTTATATTAAAAACTGCTTAGAATCAACCAATATGATTTTAGGTGAGTCTTGGGTTTATGTAAACCGTCCCTTTTCTTCTCTAGCAAGGCCACAAGGAGTTTTCATACCCAATTTTCATTAGCCACTGTTTAGCCTTTTATCCAAAACATTAGCATTAGTTTCCTCTTAACTGTAATTTTCAAGAAGAAAGCTTAACATGCCATGGTTTAAAATTGACTTGTTCCAATTGTACTTAAGATTAGATCTAGTTTGCTGGATTCAAATGACACAACAAGGTATGGTTTGCCAAAAAGATGAGATGAAGTAGATATTCAATGAAGGATTCATACATTACACTCACCATTATTTATAAATGTTGGGTGTCCATACAATTACTTCCTATTTTTACATACTGCAATGCTTCTCTGAGACTGTAAAGCAAGCACCCACAAGCAATATCAATGCAAAATAGTAAGAAAGCCAGATCGTAACCCCTTGGCAACCTGTTAGCAATCCCCATACCAGAACAAAATGTCAGAATACAGTTCAAGCCCATAAAAACTGATCAGAAATTGTAAAACACAATGTATGTTTATTTTATTCTAGCAGAATGACAGAATTACAAATCACCAGATTGAACAGGACATAAAAAATACCACTACTGGCTCCAAAAGACATAACCCAAAAAACCATCACTCCAAGTCACACAGCAGTTAACAGATCCAGTTGTGAAGTTCAGTCATTTCCACGTTGTCCTGAAACATGTGCCTCAAGTACACTTCATGCTCTAAAGGTGCCATGAGTTTCATTTTAGGCTCTATCTGTGGCATAGGTCAACTATGGCTTCCAAAGCATTTGGGGTTCTACTAAATTTGCCAAGCATTTCTCAATTAAAAGAGTGGTGATGGCATAAAAATTTATATCACATGCGGATTGGCTTAGCTTGCTTGTAGTTTGGAACTATTTGGGGGGGGGTATTTTAGAGCAGACTCCCAGATATATAAGGCAACACTCAACTGGCCCATCAATCTGCATTCCCCCCTGAAATATGTCACAGAATCTTCTAAATTATGCTCAGGATCCTCAACAGACAAATTGGGGAAGTATCTATCAGAAGGATGCCACCATATTCCAAGAAAGAACATCAGTCCATCTAGTCCAGCAGTGTATATACCTTGAGTGGGCTATCAAGGTTTCTAACAGGAGTCTTTTCAGGGTTAAAGTCTCAAAAAAGGGGGGAAAGAGCAAGCTTGACTTCAAAAGATCAAGTTGTTTTTTGTATTGATAACTTGATGGGGTACAGGATGGAGGGACCACACTGTCAGGATTAGGAGCATCCAAACTGATATAAAAAGATCCCAGATTTTGTTCCTGTTCTTTCCTGTTTCATTTTGGAGATCTACATGTTTTGTTTCTTCCAGAAGATTTTCTGTCAGCTCCCAGTATGATCAGAGATTTTTTTTATAACCACTACCCTGGCTGGCTTACTTCAACAAAGACTTTGGATGCTCTCAAGGAGGGAATCTGAAATGTGTCCCCAAAGGAGGTTCAGGGAAATTTAGAAAGAAAAACAAGTGGTCAAGGACCAGGGAGATTATTTTTTCATTGAATCAAGAGTAATGTGAAAATGGCATGGAAATGGGGGAGCGCAAGGGCACACATGGACCTGCCAATGGGAAGAGGTTCTTTAGATATAGCAACAAGAGAAAGACACAACAATTATGCTAAAGATAATTGGAATGTATGTAAGAGCTCACAAAGCTCCTTAGGGACCCAAGAAATTACAGGAATAAATTCCCAAAATAGTGGGTCAAGGAGAAGGATTATCCTCTGAGGTGTCAAGCCTGTCTGTCACCATTGATGAATTGGCTCACCTAAAATGCTAAATAACACACTCCCTGGTTACACAGGAAACCTCCAGCACTCCAGATTCTGCTGGACTAATCTTCCCATCAGTTCAGCCAGCATGACCAATGAGAGGGATATAGGAGTTATAGTCCTGGAACATCTGGAGGACCATGGATTCTTCACCTCTGAGAAACACTGTAACAGCACTACAGTCAGGTATGCATAGAATAAGCTTATAAAATACAGGCAGTCCCCAAGTTACAAACATCCGACTTATAAACAACTCCTAGTTACAAACGGGTGTGAGACAACAGGAAGTGAGAGAAATCTACCTCTTGGAAGAGAAATTCATTCCTGAAAGAGTTATCATGGGAAAAAGGTGTCTCCACTGAAGCTTTATCACCAATTCTTGTTTCCACAACAAGCTAAATTTTCCAAATTCTAATGACACAGGGACGGAAAGTGAAGTGAAATCTTTTGAACAGGGCAGAGAGAAAAACAAACACCAACTACAAGTTGGATCATGTGATTTTAATGCTTTTATTAGGTGTTTTCTTATATTTCATGTTTTAAATGTCCTCTTGTCTTATGGTGAATTGTCCTATTGATTTTATGCCTAGTTATATGTTGTTGATTTGAGTTTTGGTTTATTATGTAAGGAATTGAATTTCTGCCGTTATTTTTGTGCAATCCACTTTGAGTCTCCCCAGGGGTGAGAAATTAACCCCTATGTGATTGAAAGTATAGAAAAATATATAGATAAATAGATATATGGCTGGAGTTCAACTGAAATAATTTACCTGTTCCGACTTACAAATTCAGCTTCCCAAAATTTTCCAAAAATCTAATGCTCACAGGGGCAGAAAGTGAAGTGGAATCTTCTGAGCAGGGGTACAGACAGCAAAACAAACCCCACAGGGGTATTGACCCTTCCCTATGTGATTGAAAGCTCACACAAGCGCGCGCACACACCCCATGGATGGAGTTAAACTTAACGAATGTACCTGTTTCAACTTAGATACAAATTAAACTTAAGAACAATCCTACAGAACCTATCTTGTTTGAAACTTGGGGACTGCCTGTACCTGATTCTGTCTTTCAAAGCACCATTTGGTACTCTCCATGAAAATGCACTGCAGCCAGAATTCCAGAGTAAGAGCTGTTTTGACAGCAGTTTTAAGATTGGGTGGGGTTTTCAGCGCAGTTGTTCTGCAGAGTATACAAGCGGGAAATGCAAAAGGCCCACTGGGTGCCAAGTGTCCTCCCAACTGCAGCCCAGCACACTTTTTTTACATAACAAAACAGCAACCCCCGCACCCACCAACCCCCACCCAAAAAAAACCCAACCACAGGCCAGCGGAATGAGCAAGAGACAAAACAGAGCGACCTCAAAAACGGAATCTGCTGAAAGCCACTTAGAAGCGCACAGGGCATTCTCCTGACACAAACGCCCTGAAATCCGCCCAACAAATCAGCGATTGCAGTCAACGTGGAGGTACATTCCACCACAAGCGTTGTCAACACAGCCCTGAGAGCTGTCCTTCCTGTCTCCYCCAACGCAGGCGTTCCACCACGGAAACGCACCGAGCGAACACAGGAGAAAAGAGTTCACTCTGAAGTTTTTTCCAAGGGGAAAAGGGATGAGAGGAGGAGGCCCCTCCGGCCGAAGCGTTGTCCCGACGCCAGTTGAAGCAACGCCTCGCAGAGCCGCCGCCTTCTCTTCCTCCTCCTCCTCCACTCCAGGAAGCCAAGTTCCCAGCAGCACTGTCACAAGCCTGCCATGTGGCCGCAGGACGGAAAAAGAAGCAAGCCAATGGCTCTTTGCCACCAAGCAAGCCTACACCGAGCGAAGCAGGGGGCAGAAACAGGAGGGGGAAACCCACGGGAAGCCATGGAGGAGGGCGAGCAGCGAGAACAATTGGGTTCAGCTTCCTACAGGTTCGGCATTTTTTTTTTTTTGGAGCAGGGTTCATCCCAATCTGATTGCGAATTTGCCCTACAACTACTCCCCCCCCCCACACACACACACACACACAGACTTAGGCTGGATCTAGACTGCCATATAATGCACTGAGCTGCATTCTCTTGACAGTGTGCAGACTCCTCGAATCCAGGTCAATGCAGTTCATCTGCAATCTAGAGAAAAGCCCCCCTCAAGTCGCCCTGACTGGCTGCTCTCCCATCCAGGCGCGTGTTTACACAGGCCTGAAAGAACTCCATTGGGGAGGGGAGGGGGGGAAGGGAGGGGGGCTGTTGGCGCGCGCCTCACTTGGCCAAAGGCAGGAGGAAAACAACCCAAAGAGACCCGGAAGTCCCCCTCGCGCCTGTTGTGTTGTTTCCAGCCCAACCCTGGGCCGCTCTTCCAGTGAAGGGACCCCCCCCTCCCCCCGGAGCGGAGGCGCGCTTACCCGCCAAGAGCCCTTCGAGGCCTGTCCTTCCGTCCTGAGGGGAATTCCCGCCTCACAACTTCTGCTACAAGGCGGAGGCCCTTCAACGCCGCCGCCTCACAACTTCGAAGCCAGGGCTTTGGGGGCCCGGGAGGAGGAGGCGCGGGCGCCTTGCTCCGCGTGCTGGGCTCCGGACCCGCCGCGTCGTTCTCCTCAGGCGCCTCCGGCACAGAGCGGCCTTGTCCGCCGCCTCCTCCTCCTCCTCCTTCAGGGGAAAGAGCAGCGCCTCGCGGCCGCGGAGGGGAAAAAAACTCTCGCGCCAAGTCTCTCCGGGAGGGAGGAGGGAGGAGGGAGGAGGGAGGGAGGCGGGGGCGCGCGCCTGCTCCGCCTCGGCCTGGCCTTCCCAACTCCGCCCACATCGCCCCCCTCATGCGGCTCTTAAAGGGGCCGCGCCTCCAAGGGCCTCGTCACACTGTCCACTTAATAATAATTGGGTTTCTGTGAGATTTTCAGGCTGTCTGGCCATGTTCCAGAAGCATTCTCTCCTGACGTTTCGCCCACAGCTATGGCAGGCATCCTCAGGGGGTGAGAGGTCTGTTGGAAATAGGCAAGTGAGATTTATACATATATGTGGAATGTCCACGGTGGGAGAAAGAACACTTCTCTGCTTGAGGCAAGTGTGAATGTTGCCACTCGCCAGCATGATTAGCATTGAATAACCTTTTAGCTTCAAAGCCTGGCTGCTTCCTGCAGCCAGGCTTTGAAGCTGCAGGAATGCAGTTTTCTTGCTTCTTGGCAGGGGGTTGGACTGGATGGCCCTTGAGGTCTCTTCCAACTCTATGATTCTATTATTCTATTCCTGCCTGGAGGAATCCTTTGTTGGGAGGTGTTAGATGTCCCTGATTGCTTCCTGTTTGGAATTCCCCACCAGTTTTTTTTAATACTGGTAGCCAGATTTTGTTCATTTTAATGGTTTCCTCCTTTCTGTTAAAATTGTCCGCATGCTTGTGGGCTACCATTTTTTAAAAACTCTAACATCAGGACAGTACACTCAGAAAGCAGAGTGCTGGTAGTTCATAAGCATGTGGACAATTTCAACAGAAAGGGGGAAACCATGAAAATGAACAAAATCTGGTTACCAGTGTTTTAAAAAACCCTCTAGAATCAGGACAGTAAATAAAGAGCAACACTCAGAACACGGGAAATACCAGACAGGAAGCAATCAGTGCCAGCTAACACCTCCCAACAAAGGATTCCCCAGGTGGCTATCAGCCAGGCTTTGAAGCTGCAAGGCCATTAAATGCTAATCAAGCTGGCCAGTTGCAACTTGCCTCCAGTAGACAAGAGTTCTTTCTCCCACCGTGGACATTCCACAGATATATAAACCTGACTTGCTTGGTTTCCAACAGACCTTGCAACCTCTGAGGATGCCTGCCATAGATGTGGGCGAAATGTCAGGAGAGAATGCTTCGGGGCCTGGCCATACAGCCCAGAAACCTCACAGCAACCCAGTTATTCAGGTCATGAAAGATTTCAACAACACAATAATAATAATAATAATCTTTATTTATATCCCACTTTTCTCCCGAACAGGACCCAAAGCAGCTCACTACAGAAGACAATACACATCAAAGCACACTCAACATCAAATACAAGACCAAAAATCACATAAAGCATCATAACATCCAGAAATGAGAGATAAATAAATATTAAGCACTAAAAACATTGAAAACCAATTACAATTATTGTGGAGACTCATCAATTAAATAGTTTATTTTGCCAAGCTCAGTGCAAATCGACCTTGCTGTCATTAGCAATTGAAGTCATTTGTCCAAATAAGTTTTTAAAAAACAGCTAAGACCACACAAGCCTTCATCTTGAGGAATAATCCCACTTCTTCAAAAGAGTTCCATCCATCACAGAACATGATCAAACCAGCTCTCGAAGCACCCCTGGGGTTCCCATTAAAGGCATTATTAGCAAAGGTTACCTGGGGGGAGGAGTCATTCAAAGCAAAAAGACCTCCTCCCAAACAAACAGTCATTAAGCCTAGAATTCAGTTGTACTATTGCTTTCTACTTCCAGAAATTTCAACACTGAATTTTCTGCAAAACATTCTGGTTGGCATTCCAGGACTCATTTCCCTGAGCTCCTTGGCATAAACATGGGTATTACTTGTTGTTGTTGTTGTTGTTGTTGTTACTATTTGAAACACAACAAGATGAGTCCACAGCAGACAAGATCACTCTGCTAGCTGTTGCATTGGATCACACGTCGGACACTTCCCAAGTATCTAGGACTATGTGATGTATCGGCAAATAATGCGTGCAGATCCCAGTAGGGTGGCCTTTTGCTGCTGGCAATCTTGTCAGCGCCAATTGTGTTTAAGTGCAGGCCAAGGTCTTTAGGCATTGCACCCAGTGTGCCAATCATCACTGGGACCACCTTTACTGGTTTGTGCCAGAGTCTTTGCAGTTCAATCTTTAAATCCTCATATCGTGTCCAGTTGTTTCCAGTTGTTTCTCTTCAATCCTGCTGTCACCCGGGATTGCAACATCGTCAATCCATACTTTGTTTTTTAACACGACCGTGAGGTCAGGAGTATTGTGCTCCAAAACTCTGTCTGTCTGAATCCGGAAGTCCCAGAGTAGCTTGACGTGTTCATTTTCTGTAATACATTTTCGACAATACATTTTCGACAATACATTTTCTGTAACCTTTTCTGGCTTGTGATCCCACCAGTTCTTTGTTGCAGGCAGATGGTATTTGTGGCACAAATTCCAATGAATCATCTGAGCAACTGTGTTGTGCCTCTGCTTGTAGTCTGTCTGCGCGATCTTCTTGCAGCAGCTGAGGATATGATAGATTGTTTCATCTGCTTCCTTGCAGAGTCTACATTTGGGATCTGTCGTCAACTTTTCAATTCTGGCTTTGATGGCATTGGTTCTAATGGCTTGTTCTTGGGCTGCCAGAATCAGGCCCTCCGTCTCCTTTTTCAAAGTTCCATTTGTGAGCCATAGCCATGTTTTTTCTTTGTCAATTTGGCTCTCATTTTTTCCCAGGAACTGTCCATGGAGAGCCTTTTTTCGCCAGATGATGATTATTATTATTTGGGGAAGATTCTTTGTCATTACAGAATTGCCTACTGGCCTTCTAAGGAGTTACATCCTTTGGGTGCATCTTCACTGTAGAATTAATGCAGTTTGATGCCACATGAACTGCCATGACTCATTACTATGGAATCCTGGGATTTGTAGTTTGGTGAGACACCAGCACTCTTTGGTAGATAAGGCTCAAGACCTTGTCAAACTACAACTCCCAGGCTGAAAGAGAGTCACTCAGTCAAGTTTATGGTTCAGTAGGAATCCTATGTGTCCTCTAAGCCCAGCCACTGATACAATACACCCATTTCCAGGTTCCTTGGACCTTGGCTTGAAATGACAGAGTAATAGAAGTGCTCTCTCTCTCTCTTGTCCAGCTGCCTTGCTGGCTCATGAGCTGCTGGGGATATGCAGCATCTGATAAATTCAGCCACTGCTGCAGGAATGTATCCCAAACCATACATTTCAGTCAGATGCATTTGGCTTGTGACTTTGCCAACATATTTTTCTGCCTAAGCCACAATACAGCTTTCAACATGTTTTGTTGTCTTCATTACAGGCAGCAAGCTGATAAAAGAGGGAGAGCCAGTCTTCTCACAAACATGTTCAAAAAATATAGTCCCTTGTGCAGAGATTGTTCAAGGATTCGATCAAAAGAATGGAAATGGCATGAAGTGCCCCAATCCTTTCAAATTTAGGGAATGCAACGTGGAAACCACTCATCTCAGTTCCAGTTAATGTTGACTATACTGTATCATAATTACATTCCCTTGGGTTGAGAAGCAAGTCAGAGATCAGTGCCGAAGAATCAAGTCAGGAAAGAAATGGGCTGCAAATACTTAGGAAAAAAAGTTTTCTTTGGGGGATAACAGCTCCCAGGCCTCTACATCCAGTGTGACCAATGGTCATGCTGGCTGGGGAATTTGGGGGGCGCAAAGTTAAAATTTCCAAGTTCTGCAAACCCATTAGATTTAAGGAAGTTAGGGTCCTTGAGACAGATGTTACTGAAAAAGGAGGTGAGGAAACATTTCCCCCAGTTCTGTTCACTGCCCTTTTACAGTTGTGGAAACAATTATAATACAATAGAGTCTCACTTATCCAACATAAAGGGGCCAGTAGAAAGTTGGATAAATGAAATGTTGGACAATAAGAAGAAATTGAGGAAAAGCCCATTAAACATCAAATTACATTTTGATTTTACAAATTAAGCACCAAAACATCATGTTTTACAACAAATTGACAGAAAAAGCAGTTCAGTACAGGGTAACATTATGTAGTGATTACTGTATTTACGAATTTAGCACCAAAACATCACAATGTATTGAAACAGCTGTGGATCCGGGCGGGAGGCAGACTGCGTTGGATAATACAGAATGTTGGATGAGCAAAGGTTGGATAAGCGAGACTCTACTGTAATATATGCTTGTCCAAGGTCATGCAATGGGCTTAATGTCACCCTACTTCCAATTTGTTTTTCTTCATAATTGTTTGTCTACAGAGGAACCCATCTTGAACGTCTTAAAGCCATGGTGGTCCTGTCCACACTGGTAGTGTCCTTGTTTAAAAGCACATTGAAGGCTGCATAGTGTCTGTGGTTTGAGGCATAGGCCTCACTCTGTCTAACAGTAGAGCCATTTTATAATGGCTTAACAGTTGTTAACAACTGGTTGTGTGTGTGTCAATATTGCCTATTGGCAACCTCACACATTTCATAGGGTTGCCAGTTCCTCCCTCTGAAACACAGGGAGGAACTGGTATTTATTTGTGGTCCCCCATCCAAACCTGGTATTTATTTGTGGTCCCCCATCCAAGGAGCCCGCAGTGGCACAGTGGGTTAAAGCGCTGAGCTGCTGAACTTACTGACCGAAAGTCACAGGTTTGAATCCGGGGAGCGGCATGAGCTCCCACTGTTAGCCCCAGCTTCTGCCAACCTAGCAGTTCGAAAACATGCAAATGTGAGTAGATCAATAAGTACCATTCCAGCAGGAAGGTAGCAGCACTCCATGAAGTCATGCTAGCCACATGACCTTGGAGGTGTCTATGGACAACGCTGGCTCTTCAGCTTAGAAATGGAGATGAGCACCAACCCCCAGAGTCGGACACAACTGGGCTTAATGTCAGGGGAAAACCTTTACCTTTTTACCTTTTTTATCCAAGTACTAACCAGAGCTGGCCCTGCTTATCTTCCAAGATCAGACAAGATCTGACCTCAAAATTGTAGCATGGAGTTTGGTTCATCCTG